ATCGATTTAGCACGAACTCGGTGGGTCCTGCGGAAATTAGTACATGAGTGACACCATCGACTGACCCCCGAGGACGGCAACGCAACGATTGACAGCAACGCAACAATCTTTGCTTCAAGTTTCGTTGTTCAGACCATCTTTTAATGTTGGAATAAGGGCGAAAAGTAAATATAAAACAACATGAGCGGATTCTAATCTCTGTGTATTGTAATTTTACCCATTTAACCAGAGTACCAATTCTTTATTGAATGTTCATCATACAGTGATCTGAGAAACAGCCTCCGCCAATACCACATGCTATCAATCCCGGTGAAACATTGACAAAAGAGCAGAGTTTTGGAACATAGAGTATAAGATTAAATTCAGACATTGTACACGTTAGCATACAGCTTACCATTACATATGGCGCTGGATTGTATTTCTCATCTTTATAATTGTAAAACGGGTTCAGGGTCTCTTGCCGTGAAATTAACTCTCACTGACCAGATATAAGCTTCAATGATGATACATATTTTAAACCTCAACGCGGACAAATCTTCACTCCCCTCAAATCTCTAAAACATTGTTGAACGCTTGGAAACGTGTTCACTGCGAACGTCGTCAAACTCCCAAGTCCAAGTTCTCCCTGAGAACTGGTCTCAATTTCAGAGCTCGGATCTTATCTTCTGACAGCGCGAGTTTCACAATAATTGGACGTGGTTTAGTTACATGTTGACGTTTAGCGCCAATGCGGTGTGCGCGAATCACGTCAGACGATTGCCATGTCATACAGGTCAAGTATGTATCAAATGTAGACAACAGAATCTCTTTACATGACATTGACTTCTCACCGTCAGCTTCCGGAATAACATGTAGGGGGATGTTGTCACGTCGACGAACAACCTCGTTAATCTCCAGGTTATACGTTACGATAAATCTCCACTAAACCATGGATGCATCTTCGGCTCGGCCCGATGATTATATTACCTCCCGTGGCTGGAGTTTTACCCAATCAGGTGTCTACAATGGGAAGCTGAGCGTACCAATCACAACACACTTTCGCTTCTTTTACCTAATCGATTAAACTTGGCAACACGATTGTTGTTTAGGTACTCTGAAAGAGGTACAAGGAGTTCTTGCATATATTTTATTAGGTTTCACAACTGTTAGTTTGTCTGTATGATTTTCCCCAAAATCTGAGTCGCACTGCGAACAAACTTTCGCGGCTGCGACTGTTATCTTTGTTGACACTGGCAAATCGGCAAATCGAGGATGGTCGACTAAATACCTCAAGTTTATCTAAATCGTCGTCAATTTTGGTCATAAGTTCGTAAATGTTATCAACTTTTTCCGAAAAGGCGTCAAAATCCGTATGCATACTCTCGGTGGTTTTTTTTCCGGTTCTCTCTATCCAATTTGATAAGGTTAACAGTTTTATCAAGTTTATCATATCTAGAAGGAATCGACTTCACGTCTTCTTTCAACGATGTGATTTATTCACTCGGCTCGGACTTGTCTTCTAATTTGGCCATAATGGAATCTTATTAAGCTTCTTCAAGTGTAAAGGGTCCCGGGTTTAACTCCACATCGTCAGAGCACAATAAGATCTTCTCACGTTGTACCCATGTTGGGTAACATTGGCTTTCCGAATGACACATGAATGCAATAATAATAGGAAGAATGATAAGGACACTGATATGACGAGGAACTAATGAACAACTGGCAGTCATTATCAATGATTAATATTAGGCCAGATTTATAATAAGTAGTCAAGGCAACGGCACACCTGGGGTCAAGGGGAACAGAGCTCCAAACACAGTAGCAGGTGTAAGTAGTAATCAGCTTTTAAAGAGCAGAAATTTACTTTTGCTTGGAGCGCTGTATTATTAATGGATGGATCAGCGAGCCCCGATTTATATACAACAGAATCAGCACATGAGGAACTAAAAGACTCGACATTTTATCATCTTAATGTCAGCATCAGCTGTAACAGATCTACACAACACAATGACAGAACGTGTTAGGAAAAGCGATTTTCACTAATCTAATCTGGTATCTTTAAAGCGACATAACACATGTAATTCGGTATCTGTTGCAGCCAAATGTGTATGTATAAAACTTCAGAGGTGTGTTAATACATATAGCTTATAAAATGTCCAATATGTGAACGCGCCCGTTTCCAAATTTGCGTTTTCTTCAATGTCTGTTGTGGCCACCATGTGCCCCAAAAACTGCTCTTCATCGTCTTGGAATGGACTGAATAAGTCTTTGATTTCGAACTTATGGAATTCTGGCCCATTCCTCTTGCAATGCCTGGGACAGTTGATGGAGTAGAGATTGCTTGATGGAGTTGAGATTGGGCGATTTCGAAGGTCAAGGAAACACTGTAATGTTATTCTGAAGATGCTGAATAGTGGCATGTGCTGTGTGTGGCATTATCTTGCTGGATCAACTCCCTCAATGATAGGGATCATGTGAAGCCTTAAGATTTCGTCTCCATACCGAATACCAGTTAAATTGTCCCGAGGGCGTACAAAGTTAGATTTGGGCATGACTCGTCAATAAAGCATACACGTTGCCAGTTTTGTACATTCCAGAATCGAACTTTATTGCACCACTGGACCCGTCGACGTCGATAGTGTCGTCGCAGTACAAGGCCGAAACAGGGTCCCCTCGTAATCGATTACGAACGGTTTGAAATGACTGCAGTGGTAATCCGGCCTTATATAGGCAATGTCCTCGCTCACGTTTCCTCAGAACTGCACGTGCATATTACGAACCACTTTTTCTCCATGACATTTTCATGCATGTTGATACTTTCAAACGTAAGCGTGCATTAAAATTACCGAAGATGCGTTTTTGCTCTGTGCGTTTGTTCATGTACACAAACCAGCATTGTAATGGCGAACAATCAAACACTAATTTTGAAAAATAATTGACATTTCATTTATCAATATTCTTTTTGGTTAGAGTTTATCTGTACCCGTGATCCCGTAAGCAAACTGATCATGGTACTGCTACCTATGCGAGTCATAAGCTACACAATACTGATATTTAAGCTAACTTTCATGCTGAACCAGGTCATCTGACCCTGGGTGTAAAGCTCACTAACCAGCAACATCACGGCGGGGACGCCACAAATTTGCTTCACACATTGTACCTATGTGGGGACAGCCTGGTAGGTACTGTTGTCGAAGCAATATGGTAACAGTCAGGGATAAGGATCGCCGATTTGGTTGATACAATCACCCTATCCCAATTGCGTAGACCAATATTCGTGTTGTTGATTACTGGATTGTCTGGTCCAGACTCGATTATTTACAGGAAGCCGCCATACAGCTGGAATATAGCTGGGTGCGGCTTTAAACAACAAACCAACGACAAGGAGTATTTGTAACGACGTGAAGGTTTGTATCAACGTCTTTTGTAGTATTTTTTCAGCTTAGTTACGTTAGGTTCTTACATTTGCCAGTTATCTCAATGTGATGTGTCAGGCTGCACCTGTAGTAATGTACCCGCCAAACAACTACAAACAGAGCCTTGGAACTAAATATACCTTCAAACTGACACGCAAAGAACAACTACTCTACTGACGATCAGTGTCTTCTTTCACCCTGTTTATAAAGCGTGTACAATCGATCACTTGCTCGTAAAACCCATTGCTCGGGAATCCAGTGATCAGCTGAAATCTGAGAATATGTATGCTATACACCGTGTTATTGCGTGTTCGATAATAGTTGGTGTGGTATTCTACGAGACGCTAAAGCTGCTTCGTTTGAAACATGAACGGTATTCAGAGGCCGCTATCATAATAATAAATCATTAACATCAAGGTTGATTGTACGAGGATCTGAGTTGACACTATTGGTATATACTGCGTGTTAGATAATAACGGCATGTCAGTGTCTCCTATTAATAGCGTTCTACATCAGTCACGCTATGTCGAGGCCTTATTCTACCCAAGCAACTGTATGCGTTCAAACTGAATTGAGTTGCTATATGTAAACAGGAATAATTTCAAAATATATAATAATTCATGAACACTTATAGATGAGTTAACGGACTTTTAAGTTCATGTGTTGACAGTTAAAGTCACTTCGCAAAAAGAGCACTATTAACAGTAACTTTACTGGTATCAGTACAATCATATTTTACGTGCTGCTATTACTTCCCAACAATTGTTCATATGGCATATTACCCCTGATAATCCGGTTTAGAATTGGTCTTCAGCAACTCAGCTTGTCTTGAGAGGCAAACAACTGGTGGTCAGGATCGCGGACTTGGTTGGCACATGTCATCGTATCTCAGCTGCGTAGATCGATGTTCATGTTGTTGACTTTTTAACAGTTCATACATTTTTATGATTGTCTGGTGACTAATGGTGAATACATTTTCTACGTGTTATTTTCTTTCAGTTCTCTTTCCACTTGGGCATTTGCAATGATACATGAATTTGGTGAACTGGAGTCAATTTATGGATATTAATTAATAGTGTTAATATGTGGATGTTCTTTTTTTATTTACCTGTATTCCCGTATATTGCTATGTCGCCAATAAATGCTGTAGATATAATATCTCTGATGTGTTTATCTGAACTTGTCATTCATATGACTATACGGTGTTTGTGTTTCTTATAGGTCGCTTGGCAGCACATTTTATGTTTTGCAGATTGAATATATTTGCTGTGTGTGACACAACACTAAAATAATCTTCTTCTTCTTCTCCTCCTTCTTCTTCTTCGTCTCCGTCTGCTTCTCGAGACACGTGATTTTGCCAAGTGAGGCCAGGAATGAACATGGCTGCCATTTTCTTCTTTGTGATTTTCTCCACCTGCCGACAGTAGAACGTCACGTGTTCTCCCACGTGTGTCTGTTTGACTGCACAGACATTCGACGACGATCTCACCTGACCCAGGTTGTGTGTGTTATTGAGCTGGTCACGTGACTAACTGTACCTGAGATGCATGAGTATAAAACCAGCGACAGCCGTCATATGCTGCATTACAGCCGGGACCTGACTGGTTGAGGCTGAGCACACAGCTGGTAGGGCGAGCACACAGCGGGTGAGTACTGCTGATACTTTTAGTGCTGATTTACTGCTACTTATTTTGGCAAGATGTCGTCTACATGTTAACCGATGCATGTGTATTCATTCATGTCTTTGACATTATGTCTACATGTATCATGAGACATAATTCAACTTATTGTGACTTAAATCAGCGAATTTCTAGCAAATGTCTAGCATTATCAAAATACTGTTTGGCCTGTGGGCGATAATATTTTCAAATGCATAGTATCATGGCATACTATTCAACATATTTTATCCTCATTCAACTTATTTTAGCACGCTTGAACAGACAGTCAAATGATTGGCATGATACTCATCGATTTACGCGGTTGAGATACTATGGCATGCATCAACTTGTCAGCGAACCTGAGCACCCGATCCTGTTAGTCGCCTCCAACGACAAGCATGGGTTCCTGAAGATCAATATTAGACCTGTTCTTTACATGTTTTCAAGTTGCGAGTTTCGTAGAGATAACAGATACCATGCGTGCCCAGCTTGATAAACAATCGTGTGCTGAGTAGCAATCGTGTGCTGCTAAGAGATCATTGACGTTTTGAAATATACCTGTAAAATAATGTTATAAAATATGCTGATTCATGTGTCAAGATACCTCGTTTACTAAACATGTCTGTGTTTTGACGTCTATTATTGAAAACAAAATGTATAATTTACTGTTGGGGTTCACAATCAATTCAATATGCCTCGTCCTGTAAACACAAACTCATTGAACAGAAAGATGTAACAAGAAGAAACGCTTGATGTGTGCTTTCAACAGACCGACAACGTCTATTTTAACATCGGACAGGAATGTTCACGTTGGTGTTGAAACTAGTTTGTTTTTCATTTCAGACTGTATAAAGTGCAAAACCCTTCGCAATGGCTGGCAGAGGTATTTTTTACTATCGTAAACTGTGTTCAAGTTGCACGAGAAAACTGCATTGAAATTGCATTGAAATTGCATGGAAGTGTGTCAAACTGTAATACATATCGGACTATCAGGTTGAACGGAGTCCATGCGCACATTTGGTTCACATTTGAGACGACTGTTATTCACAGGCGTTTAACCTGAGCTGATTGACCAGATAGTTAGGTGATTCATTGTCATTAGCTTAGCATGTTGTTACAACTAAGTGAAACAGAAGCATTACAATCATGTCAATAATTCTTAAGGTTGTGATCATATTTATGAGCACAATAATTAGTACAGGAAATCAACACTTACAAACTAGCATTCGACCTTACCACATTCTAATGGCAGTTGGTTAAAAGTTAAGTGTCAGTATCATGTGATATGATAATTGTTTATGGTGTGTGAAACCATGATTATCTTCTTCACAGGAAATCCTACCAGCTTTCTGGACAGGGAAATTCGAATGGTACTTGTTGGAAGGACTGGAGCTGGTAAAAGTGCAACAGGGAATACAATAATTGGAACTGGAAAGTTGGCACAGATATTTAAATCGTTATCAAAGGCAGTGTCTGTTACAAGGACATGCAAACAGCATTCCTTTAAACGCTTTGGGTACGACTTGCAACTTGTTGACGTCCCAGGATTTTGTGACACAAGCAGATCACATGAAGACATCAGGCAAGAGGTCATGAAATGTGTGGGGATGTCTTCTCCTGGAATACACGCCATTCTTTTCATCGTTAGAATTGGTAGGATGGATGAAGTAGACAGAAATACACTGGAAAGGTTCCTGCAATGCTTTGGAGAAGAAGCTAAAAGATTCGTCATTGTTATATTTACTGGAAAAGATGACTTGGAGGAGGACGGTGAAACTATTGACCACTACTTATGTGATTGCCCAGTGAAACTGAAGCTTTTTTTATTTGATGCAAGTCTTCGTTTTATGGCTATCAACAACAGAGGGACGGATGAAGAAAAGGAGACATTCACCAAAGAACTGATAGTCAAGATAAAACGCATGGTTGATGAAAATGGCAGTCAGTGCTACACAAATGAGATGTACGAGAGATGTGAAGCTGATCTTAAAGAAGCTGGAAAAAGAGAAAAACTTGAAGGGAAGAGGCAGCAGGAATTCGAGGATAAACTTAAACAAGAAGCTGCTGCCTTTGAAGAACAGTTACAGAGTCATCGTCTTCAAATGCAAGAAATGGAGAAAAAACTGAAACAAGAACGAAAATCAAGGGAACAAAAAGATGATGAGCAGTTGAAAGAACGTCTTAAAGCCGTAGAACTGAGGCAAAAGGAAGAAGAGGAAAAGAAATGTTTGGAAGAAGAAAAGAAACGACAGGCAGAACAAAAGGAAGCTCAGGAAAACACGAGAAGAGAGCTTGAGAGAATAAAAGATATCCAGAGAATACAGATGGAAGACTTTGAGCGTAGGAAAGAAGAACTGCATCTTGAAGAGATCCGTAAACAAATTCGAGAGAAGATAGAAGAAGGCAACATGGGTTTCATACGAACTGCTTGGCAATCAGTAAAGAATGTTGTGTCTACACTTTGGTAATGACAGCTATGTCAGAAAGAACAGCAAGATATATCAAGTATCTCATTGCTCAGTTTCCACGTGTGCGATTATTGCGGGAGATATGAAAAATGTGTTTTCCCGCCTATGTGGAAATTGACCCATGAGAGCTGTCTCCGAGTCAATCAGAGAATTACGGAAACTGTCGATGTTTACCAAAGAGAGGCCAGACGTTTGGTCAAAGCAAAGGGTAGTGCTAATGCGAGGGTCAGTGGTCAAATATGAAATGCAGGCAGACATATTGAATACGATGAGCAGAAAGGTAAAAGAATTACCTATAGGCTCAGTACAATGTTCTTGTGAAAAACGTAAGGTTTGATTGAACCGCACGTTAAGATAGTCGGGCTGTCCGGTTTTCGATCCATTTTTTAGCATCGGGAGTGTCACCCGTTGTGTATGCTATTAATGAGGGTAGCGATAGAATTTTCAAAAAAATCTTTATTTATTCACTGACTTTGTTCAAATTTGAAATGTATATTAATCATAACATATACAAGCAATATATGAGTGGAAAATTATATATTTGTATTATAAAGAAATTATCGTCCAAACACTGATTCGAACCCCTGTGCTGTCTTTTCTCTGACGTTAAGTAACCTTTCGTTCAACAAAACAATCTGTTATCGGTTCATTCGCTCCATTTTACCATTTTAGGGTTGGAATCATCTCCTCGTCTGAAGCTGCAGGAAATGTTTAGTCTCAGAAATGAGGAAAAGAGTTGAAACATAAGTGACTGCTACAGTTCCCTATTTTAAGTTGTACCAGATATTCCTGTCTTTACAGGTTAAAGTGTTCTAGCCTTTGCTTGTGTTTGCGAATGGAGCATTGTGATACAGAATTCGCTCACGATTTTCGTGAACACGTGTTCTTGTTTATTTGTATGTTTTGTTTGTTTGTGTAGCGTCGCACTCGCTAATATCACCAGGTGATTATAGGATGTTCATAATCGTGTTAAACCAGACATTTTATGTCTAAATCAAGCAGCAGTCCAGATCCGGGTTAGATTTGGTCTTCAGCAACACATGCTTGCTGCACGAGCCGACTAACTGACAAGCTCAATGACTGGGCTGACGCATATTGAGTAGATCGTTGCGCATGTTAGTTGCTGTGTGTGTGTTTGTTTGTTTGTGCGTGCGTGCGTGTGTGTGAATTATCTGGGTATCGCTGGGCGTTTCATTGTCCTGAAAGACCTTACATTTGTTTAGTACTTGGCTAATGTGAATTATGTGTAGCTTGGTGTGTACACAAAACCTTCTGGAGGAGACAGAAGTCGTTATCAATAACCGTTTGACATGTTCTGCAACTGTTCCTTGTAAAATGTACCTTTTCGTCTGTGTCGTCTGCCTTTTAGCCCTTTTGCCAAGGCTTTGCATTAGACGTAGCTCAGTTGTAGCTAGATCTGTAGAAGATGTGATATACTATCTTCTGGATTTTTGTGTCTCATGATAGACTCTTGTCTTAGAAACAATATGAGAAAGGGACGGACACTACAGACTAGCAAATCACCGGATTAACCGTGGAAGACTTACGAGGCAGATGAGACTTCAGACGGTCAGACTCGGTGTGCAACTGAAAGAGAATAATCTGCTACGCACTCAAAACTGTGCTCTTTTTTCTTATTTTCCCCCTGTGATTACAGAGCATTCTTGGAGACATGACAAACTAAAAGAATTAACTATATAAATTTCCAGGATCGATGTGAAACCAGGAAGTGTGACCAACTCATGACAAGGATCAAACTGGAAATAAAGTGACACGAACAGCAAAAAACACAAGAAGAACTTGTGTTTGTATTGCGGACCTAAATGTGAACACTCAACACGGATTTACCTCATTGAAGCGTTGGTAAATATACCAACTTTCTACTCTCTTGTAAATCATGAAAATAATGCCTAACTGTGTACGCCCTGACCAGTCAGTATATCTCTAACACTTTTAGGCTGTAATGTACACCACTATTTTATCTAATAGAAATGGGTTCTTTGTTATACTATGGATAAAACAGTATCAGTTTATTGTATGATACAAGCCAGATGTTCCGTCAATTCATAACCCTACAAATTTATATGTACGTCTTAAAACTAATTCCGTGGACAAGAAGCTTTATTTCTCTCGATTTTATTATTCAGTTAGCACCATATGATGATATCAATAGTGTATAAAGTAGCCTCATGCTGTTTAATACAGACCAAAGGCTATGTGCTACATTAGTCTGATGTTCAGATGATGCAGGATAACTAAAACTTTCCATACCTCTCGTAAAGAATCCTTTCGTCGTTGGGAAATATTACCTTTTGTTTCATGATTTAGCTTGTATTATATCAGCGCACCATTAGAGTATAAAGTTGCTTCATAGTGCTCAATATATACTTGATGCACTGCCTTACACAAGCCAGTCGATACATCGATCCATGATACAACCTTCTATGTCGTTTCGTAAAGGAATTCTTGTTGCTAAGAAACATCTTTCTCTTGGCTATATAGCGCTGCTTCATACTGCGTAGTATATACATCACTAAACTAATGGTGTAGTTAAGAAGTATTATCTCCCTTGTTTCATGACACAGTTTGTATTATATCATGCTACCAGCAGTGCATAAAGCTGCTTCATGCCGTGTAATTCAGACCATAGGTTTTTGCATGGTATAAGCCAGATGTTCCGTTGACGTATAAAAATTAGAATCCTTTATAAATTGTGCAAAACTAATTCAGTGGATAGGCAGTATTGCTATACCACAGTACTAATTCTATGTAATGTTGTTACACATTGTTTAATAGAGGCTGTAAAACTCTCTTTGAAAAATGTTGAATGTAGGAGCGCGAGTAACATCCCAGTATGGAGGAAATCGCCCACCACCTTTTTTCAGTTTCATTGTTTATGCTTTCATTACACCTTTACACAGCTATACATGAAAAAACAAAATTATTTTTATCGTAAAATGTTAAATTATAATGATAAGTCTCTCAAAGTTGCAAAATGGGATCCAGAATTGACATAGTATTTGCTAATTGCAGAGGCCTAGCTGACAAAATGAAACGTAAGGGAATCATGAGACTGTACGGAAAAGAAATTTCTCAATAATATGTCTCCAAGACATCGATATATCTAAGAATGATGCAAATTCTGTGGGGAATGAATGGGGAACAAAAATATTATCGCTCCTTACTCATCGTGCAGTAGCTATTCTTTTAATAACAAAGTAGAAATAGAAATTCATTGTGATAAAGTTGACAAAAATGAAAACTTATCGTAACCGACTGTACGATTGACACCATAAGGACAACAATTGCTAATATATATGGTCCTAACCATGATGATATAAAATTTTATGAAAACTTGTTTACTGATATAGATAACTTTGAAAATGATTCCTTAATCTTATGTGGAGAATGGAACCTTGATCCTAACCTGGACCTGGAAAACTATAAGAATATCAATAACCCCAAAGCACGGAAGTATGTCTTAGAAAAAATAGAAAAATATAACCTAAGTGATGCTTGGCGGCCAACAAATGGTAAGAAAAATATATACATGGTAGCGGAAGAACCTTAGACAACAGGCTCGTCTCGATTTTTTCTTAGCATCAGAAAATATCTTTAATATAACTCTGGAGTCTTATCATCCCTGGATACAAATCTGACCATTCGGCCATCACACTATCATTCTCAAATAACCTTAGCAAACAAAGAGGAAAAGGATGCTGGAAATTTAATGCCTCGCTGTTATACCATAAGGAATTTATGTCCAATGTTCAGAATATGTTACGAGAAACAAAAATTGAATACGCAGATAATGAACAAATCGACAACAATGCTGAAGATATTGATGACTTGGATCTTAAGTTAAAAATCTCTAAGGGTTTATTCTCAGAGACATTACTTATGGAAATACGAGGCTACTGTATATCAGTTTCATCATTTATAAAAAAAGATAAATGTAACAAACTCCAGAACCTAGAAAACAAAGTAGCTGAAATTGAAGATGACATTAGAAAAGATTATCAAAGTATAAATGAAAAGACACTTTGAGACCTCTCAAGACTTAAAAAAGAATTTGAAAATATGAAAGAAGAAGAAACCAGGGGACACCTTATAAGAACACGTCTTAGGTTGTATGAAGAAGGAGAAAACCTTCAAATTATTTTTGCAATTTGGAGAATAGAGATTATACAAATAAACTAATCAATCAAGTGATAAATAGTAATAACTGTATAATAATTGATGGAAAAAAATGAACTCAGACACTATATGCAGAGTAAACTGAAACCGACCATGAGATGGCAGAAAACATATTAGAAACAATAGATACTCAGGAAATGAAGGAAGATTTATTTGACAGACTTGAAGAGCCAATTACACTTAAAGAAACTGCAACAGCCGTAAAAAGCATGAACAATAGTAATAGCCCATGAATTGATTGATTTCCAGTAGAGTTTTTCAAAGGTTTTTTTTAAAGATATAGGAAAATGGATTTTTAGGTTTATTTCAGAAGTCTTTGTTGAAGAAAAGCTATCGGATACTGTAAACAGAGGTCTTATTACCTGCTTACCAAAAGCTAATAAAGATAGGCAATACTTAAAAACTGGGCGCCATAACTCGACATTAAACAACCTTTAATATCGCCGCGCGATGTATCACTGATAATATTAGAAACTTGTATGACATAATATATGAGCTGAAAAATGAGGATAGACCAGGCTTGTTAATTCCTTGTAAAAACATTTGATAGTGTTTCAAAACATTTCATACTCAAAGTGTTAAAGAAATTCGGTTTTGGACCAAAAATGACAAAATGGATTAGAATCCTCACCAACAACGTTAACTCATGTGTAATTCAAAACGGACGAGGTTGTCGTAAGGGCGACCCAGTGTCCCCATATCTCTTTCTTTTTGTTGCAGAGGTACTCGGAATTATGATTACAAATAGTGTCCACATACAAGGAATAGAAATAAATAACAAAGAACATAAACTAGATCAATATGCTGACGACACAGAACCTTTTCTCGATGGAACTTAGAAATGCTTAAAGAGTGCTCTACATAAACTGGACACTTTTCACAAAATTTCTGGACTTCACGTGAATATTGAGAAGACCAACGCAATATGGCTATGATCCAAAGCAGACTCGAAGGTAACATTATGTGAAGATAGAAATTTAAATTGGATAAACTTCGAAGTATTGGGAATTACTTTAAATTCAAAGCTGGGCAATCTCTGGGTCATAAATACTAGGAAAAGACTAGCAACAATAAATAAACTACTGGCAAACTGGAGGAGAAGAAAGCTGACCTTAATAGGTAACATTATTGTTATAAAAGCATTGATACTATCTACATTAGATCATATATTCTCAGCCTTGCCAAATCCACCAAAGGGGAGTAAACAATATCAATAAGATCCTGTTCAATTTTATTTTGGATGGTTAGCAGGATAAAATCAAGAGAACTACTTTGATAAGAGACTATGAGGATGGAGGATTAAGGATGGTAGACATTACTAACTATATCTCAGCACTAACAATATCATTTTTGCGACGATATATAAAAACAGAGAATAGACCTATTCTCAGTAGGTGCTAATATCGAGAAAGTTTTTCTAACTGACAATCCTTTCTGGAAAGATACTTGTTCAGCTTGGAAACACTATTATTTGCAAAATCATAGTACCCCGTACGATATCCAGAATATCCTGAATGAACCTCTATGGCTTAACCATCAGAACAAAACCCAAAAAGATTTTGGGATGTATGTGGTAATGAAGGCTTTCTTTCATTTGATATCATTAAAAAAGCGCACAACATTAAAGGTAGGTTTCTTGACTTTGAAAGTTTAATCAATAATATTTCTGCAGAATGGAGAGGGAAAATAAAAAAATAATAACATACTGTTCTACAACCTAAGCTTATCTAAACCTTTAATGGACTTGCTCTCTGAATCTAAAAGATGCAGAATATACTACGACAACCTGCACAAAAATGTCAATCCACCTCATTCTTGTCTAAAATGAGTTTAATAATGTATGAATTGGAAACTTATAAATACACAAACAAGGGCTGTACCAAAACAGTAAATTGTGTGATTTTCAACATAAATTGTTACAAAGATGTACACAAGAAAAGAACTCTTAAAATGAAATTAATAAACAAAAATACATGCTGTTTTTGTGAAGTAGCAAATGAAGATATTCATCATGTTTATTATGAAAGTACACACATGTTAATAGTTTCTGTAAGCAGGTAGCAGAATTTATGAACAGAAGATGCACTAGCAGATGTGAACTATCAAAGGAGATTGTCTTTTTTGGACTTCCCAGATGTTTTGTATTACAAAATCACTTGATTCTGATTGTAAAAACATCATTCACAATAACAGTATTAATTCAAAAAACTTTGCTTTGACTCGTTTGTAAATACAGTGAAGGACATAATGAATATTGAAAAACATATTGCAAATATTAATCCGAAAGCCGATACTTTCAATAAGAAATGGCAACCTTTGATAAATATGGATATATAGGACAGCACTGAACTTACGATACATATTTAAAGTATTTTACTCACTAATATCATTATTAATAATATCATTACAAGTATACTTTGTCCATCAGTATAGCTACCTTGTATGAATTGTATGAACTTATATGCTACTGTATGAACACATTCTTTATTTAAAGCAAACACTATATTTTGTTCATTAATATAACTACACTGTATGAACCGTACGAACTTGTATGGTACTGTATGGACATGAAACCATTTAAAATATTTTGCTTTATATACTGTTGCATGAACATGAAACAATTTACAATATTTTGCTTTATATACTGTTGTATGAACATGAAACTTTTTACAATATTTTGCTTTATATACTGTTAATATTTCTTAGACCATTTACAATATTTTGCTTGACACCTACTGTTGTATTGAACATGAACGTCTCTTCCTATTTTGCTTTATATACTGTTGTATGAACATGAAACCATGCAATATTTTGCTTTATATACTGCATTCTATCTATGGGAACCAATCACAATATCAACATATGTCAGCTTGTTCTTTATTAAATGAAAACCAGTATACTTTGTCCATCAGTATAGCTACCTTGTATGAATTGTATGAACTTATATGTTACTTTACGAACATATTCTGTTATTTAAACATGAAACCAATCACTACACTCTGTTCATTAATATAACTATGTATATGAACATGAAACCAATCACTTGTTTGCTTTATATACTGTTGTATGAACATGAAACCAATTACAAAATTTTGCTTTATATACTGTTGTATGAACATGTTCTTTATTAAAGCAAACATTACACTCTGGCCATCAATGTAACTACTCTGTATGAACTTGTACGCTACTGTACGAACATGTAACCCTGGTGTATTGAAATAAAAATGGAAAAAATAATATATATATATATATATATATATCTTTCCGTTTTTCCTTTGATGAATAAATTCGGAAAAAAACTGATCACGGTTTATTCTTGTCTGGCTTCCAACTTCCACGTAGTATCTCAAATATACCTTAGTCTACCAAACCCGTACATCAAGGTTCAATATTCGCACAAGCAACCCTTGACCCACACAGCTCCAACACTTGGGGCTTCGTGTCCCATGTAGTCCCACACGGGGCGGAGGGGGTAGCCCAATGGTTAAAGCGATCTCTCTTCACGCCAAACACTAGGGTTCGATTCCCCACATGGGTACAATATGTGAAGCCCATTTCAGGTGTCGCCACGCCATGATATTGCGGGAATGTCCCATGCAGTTCCACACCTTCCCTTTGATCTATCCAGCCCTACAAGCGGGTATATATGTCCCATGTAGTCACACACTTTCCCCTTGATCTACCCAGCCCTACACCAAGGTCTATATGTCCCATGTAGTCCCACACCTTCACCTTGATTGAACCAGCCCTACACCCAGGTCTATATGTCCTATGTAGTCCCACACCTTCCCCTTCATCTACCTAGTCCTACACCTATGTCTATACGTCCAATGTAGTCTCACACCTTCCCCTTGACCTACCTAGTCCCACACCCATGTCTATATGTCCAATGTAGTCTTACACCTTCCCTTTGATCGATCCAGCCCTACACCCGGGTCTATATGCCCCATGTAGTCCACACCTTCCCATTGATCTACCCAGCCCTACACCCAGGTCTATATCTCCCATGTAGTCACTCACCTTCCAGTTGATCGACCCAGCCCTACACCCAAGTCTATATGTCCCATGTATTCCCACACCTTCCCCTTGATGTACCCAGCCCTACACCCAGGTCTGTATCTCCCATGTAGTCCCACACCTTCCGTTTTATCTACCCAGTCCTACACCCAGGTATATATGCCCCATTTAGTCCCACACCTTCCCCTCGATCTACCCAGCCCTACACCCAGGTCTATATCTCCCATGTAGTCACTCACCTTCCAATTGATCGACCCAGCCCTAAACTCAAGTATATATGTCCCATGTAGTCCCACACCTTCCCCTTGATCTACCCAGCTCTACCCAGCCCTACCCCCAGGTCTGTATCTCCCATGTAGTCCCACACCTTCCGTTTTATCTACCCAGTCCTACACCCAGGTATATATGCCCCATGTAGTCCCACACCCTCCCTAGATCGACCCAGCCCTACACCCAGGTCTATATGTTCCATGTAGTCCCACACCTATCCCTTGATCTACCCAGCCCTACATCCAGGTCTATATGTCCCATGTAATCCCACACCTTTACCTTGATCTACTCAGCCCTACAACCAGGTCTATATGTCCCATGTAGTCCCACACCTTCCCCTGATCTACCCAGCCCTACATCCAGGTAGTAGAAATACAATGATGGTTTTGCTGCACATGCAGCTTATAGATTTATTGATGTCTGAATGCTGTGCTATGGTAGGGTAAAAATGAGTGGATGGGTTGTGTGAGCATCGTGGGATGCGTCCTCGTTTGTCATGTAGTCGTAATATTCAGTGACGATTTTATTGATGGGGTCTGCCATAAACTCGTCGAAGTAGGCTATAATTGACTAAAGTATCAATAAGAAGTTGTAACCGTTTGTGCCCTAAACAATCGCACAGGGTGGTGAATTTCCCTCGACTTATTACTCAACGTAGGGCTGAGTAAAATATCGAGTCCACTGACGCCCGGCCCGACGCGCCTGAACAACCATTTCTCGATCAATGTCCACTTGTTGATACCTATAAATAGATGATACTTAATAAGGGGGTAATACCGTGTCGTGAGAGGCAATTTCCAATTCCTGTTGCACGAATCACCTACCTGGTCCGTCTTTCAAGTGGTTCAAATGGGTTCATCTTCTTTGATATCCACCCGATCGATAAGATACGTTTTAACGGACCATACAGGGTCTGTGGCCCAACGTTTATCCCCTCTTTTGAGTTCACCAGGCTGGTACAGATACCTCAAGACGACCCAGTCTGGTAGTTTTTCTCTTTTCCATGACGCGATGGTGCAGCTGATTCGGTCGTCACGGATTTCATTTCAATGGCTTCAACAGGTCTTTTATCTATGAGTCTAGTGACTTCGTTGTTGATTGCCGACACCACTTGCGATATGCGCACAACCCATTCCGTATCTCTGCTTCCGGGGTTTACCATGTCTTGGGCATACTGATGTTCAGACAAACGCTCAGCTAAAGTCCTTTTAAACCTTTTGACGATGGCTTGGCTTCGGTGAGCTCC